TGAATGATAGAAAGGAATGAAAGGAAAAAAATATTTAATTAAAGAATGATGGGAAAAGAAAGAAAGAAAGAATGATGGAAGGAACGAACAAATAAACGAACGAATGAAAGAACGAACGAACGAACGAACGAAAAAGAAAGAAAGCCCATAATGAAGGAAAGTAACGACCGAGGAAGGAAATGAAGAAAGAATAAAGAATACGGAATGAATTAAAGAATGGCTCAAAGATGGAATGGAATAGAAAGGAAAGAAATAAGGAATGAATGGATGATGGAAGTAAAGAGGGAAAGTGTGAGGGAAATAATGGAGGAAGGGAAAAAGAAAGAAACCGGATAAGGAAGCAAGGAAAGAAACGATTGAGAAAGGAAAGAAGGAAGGAAAGAAAGAAAAGGAATGAATTAAAAAATGACTGAAAGATAGAAGGGAATAGAAAGGAAATAAATAATGAATGAATGAATGAATGAATGATGGAAGGAAAGTGTTATGGAAATAATTGAGGAAAGAAGAACGGAAAAAAAGAAAGGGGTGAGTTAGCAAGGGAAAACATTAGAGGAAGGAAATAAGGAATTAATGAAAGAAAGTAGGAAGTAAGAAACGAGCGAAGGAATGGAAGTTAAATTTATGCAATGTTGTATATGACCAACGAGGCATTTTAAAGAAAATGTTAACAGAACAATGGCACGCAGTGTGTCAGAGTTGCACTGAACAACAAACCATAGACTTTCTTATGTGACAGAAATGCCAGATTGTAATGTAAAATTATTTCTTGAGACACTTTCCATTCGTGCGAGCATGTGACAGAATGTGTCCAAGTTAGATGCTATTATAAAGACGATTTGATTGATATATATATATATATATATATATATATATATATATATATATATATATATATATATATATATATATATATGTATTATTTTCATTATTTACATTATTCGGACTATTGTCCTCATCTTTGTCGCCATATTTATTACAACGTTTCAGCCGTCGTACGCTCGGGCCTTCTTCAGTTGGTTGGAATGTCGAACTTAACCCTTTATTTCGCTCACTGGGGTAGACTGTTGTAGTTCCACGTGCCATGTTTAATGGATGTCAGTTATCAGTTATCACCTCTGAAAATTCGTAAAATTAAGGAATAAACACATAAGCTAGGCCACAAAAATCTCCTAAGTCGACCAAGCATAGAAATGAATACAATATGGGAACCAGTAATAAGGAGTGCCAGAGAAAAGCGATAAGAACAACAAAAGTTGCAATATGAGCTCTAGTAAAAACATGCAATGATAACAGCAAAAAATTGCAATATGAGCACCGGTAAAAATGGTCGCTGAAGACATTAGTTTTATAAGTTCATTTTTGCAAGGACACATGGTACAGTGAATAAAGGTGTTGGTTAGATCCAGTGACAGGACCCAAAGATTGTGAGTTCAATACACGGTTAGAGGGAAATTAACTGTCGGAACGTTGTAATAAATATGGCGACCAAGAAGAGGACAATAGTCTGAATAATGTAAATAATGTACGTAATACCTTATCTCAGAAATATAGACCGATACTGAAGGGCCTAAACGTTGTAATAAATATGGCGACAAAGATGAGGACAATAGTCCGAATAATGTAAATAGTGTACATAATACCTCATCTCAGAAATATAGACAGATACTGAAGGGCCTAAACGTTGTAATAAATATGGCGACAAAGATGAGGACAATAGTCCGAATAATGTAAATAGTGTACATAATACCTCATCTCAGAAATATAGACCGATACTGAAGGGCCTAAACGTTGTAATAAATATGGCGACAAAGATGAGGACAATATTCCGAATAATGTAAATAGTGTACATAATACCTCATCTCAGAAATATAGACAGATACTGAAAGGCCGAAACGTTGTAATAAATATGGCGCAAAGATGAGGACAATAGTCCGAATAATGTAAATAGTGTACATAATACCTCATCTCAGAAATATAGACATATACTGAAGGGCCGAAACGTTGTAATAAATATGGCGACAAAGATGAGGACAATATTCCGAATAATGTAAATAATGTACGTAATAGCTTATCTCAGAAATATAGACAGATATATTATTTTAGTGGATACTCATATTTGAATTGACGCACCATTTATTTATCAAGGAGTATCTTTATTTATTTTCGTTTACCGACTTAATTATTAGAGAAAGTAACAAAGATTAATCTATGTTTAAAGGCACGATTAAATTTTGATTGTTCGTCGACGTACTGTCTAGACGCGACGGCAAAGCATGTCATATCTAATGCCGGTTTCCACGACGAGAATGCAGGTTCGAATACTATCGGAGAGCGCATATTTTTCTTTGATAAGATTTCTGGAATATTTAAGCCGGCAGATGAAAACAAATAAATACAATATAGAGATATAGATATATATTAGTTCATGTCGATTTTTGTGGAGTTTTGGTGTACGCTGGGAGGAGAATTCCACATATGGCTGAGATCAGAAATGTTATTCCTGATGCTGTTAACAAATTAGCAAATGCCGGAAAGTGTGTTCCAGGAAGCATCTGATCGCTTGATTAATTGATTCGTTTTTTACGGCTTATCAACCCATTGCACTTTATTTAAAGCCAGAAACAAATTTTAGATTTTAAGAATATATTTTATTTTGATTTTTTTAGATAATAATGATTTGGTTATCCAAGTCTTTCTAGTTGACCCATAGCTGTGTGGGTGAAGAGGTACATTACTTTTCCCAAGGTTATTTGAGCGTGAGTGATTTACAACGAACAGCGACTGTACTTCGAAATCGGAATGCCACGTTCCAATTGAGTGCCGTTATCTATTACACCAGCCGCACACCCAAACTTACAACACCTGTTCTTCCTTAGAGGACAGGTCTACAGGTACTTACCAAGTATCGTTAGTGCATATTTTTGTTTTCGCAAAAGGTTAATTGATTTAAGTCGATTTATTTTGGTGTATACTGATGGGAAAATTTCAGATATAGCTTAAATCAGATAGATAGATAGATACGAACAGGCTGAGATAGATAGATAGAGAAGTATATGTAAAAAGACAAATAATTAGATAGATAGATAGATAGATAGATAGATACTGATACACTAACACACAAAAAAAAGAAAAAAAAAAGATCACCTCAAATCCTGGAAAGTGTGTTCCAGGAAATATCTGATGGCTTTATTGATTGATTTGTATTCAATGTACTATCAACTATTTACAGGTTTTTAAAGTCTTAAAATATCTTTAGATTGTAAGATTTTCTTTTTGGAAATAATAATGGTTTAATGATGCAAGTGTTAGCAATTAACGCATAGCTGGGGATACAAATGTTGAATACATGTCTAATCAAGTATTAAGATACACTCGTTAGAAACAAAGCAAAGCGTGCTGAACTGCTATGTAATATCAATCTTCCAATATAGCATTGGATGTGTGGCTGAGTGGTTAGAAGGCTCGCATTCTGACCATGAGACCCGGATTCGAATCTCACCATTTTCGATTTGTCAGGAGACCTTTGGAAAGTGCGTGGAAACCACCTTGTTAGGGTAGACAGAACGAGGTTACAAATCATCGTGCCCAAGGGCTTGAGCATGCTGGCCTAGATAACAGGGTTTCCCCAGAAACTGTATCTAAGTTCTGCTCAGCAGAGTTGCAGGAGAAACCACAGGTAGGCTCTGTGGGTGTCGAATAAACACAAATGCGTCTGAGCAAAGACAGGTATCTTCGAATACGAGTGGCCAGATATATATATGGCATTGAATGCAAGGCAATTTATTTACTATGTTTCTCCAGAAGGATAATGAGATTACCATGTACTGAATATAATTAATAAATAAATTTTAACGATAAGAGAAATATAAATTACTTTTATATTTGCTGATTGATTCGTTTTCGACGGCTTATCAACCCTTTGCATATTATTTAAAGCCAGGAAATATTGTTAAATTTTAAGAAATTTATTACGATAATAATGATCTAGTGATGTAGGTTTTACAAATTTACCCATACCTGGGGGAAGAATTTTTTGATTCATACCTTTCTCAACGATATTTCCGCCTAAGTGAATATAACTGTTGTGGCGTCCTCCTTTTAATGAGGCTATTGGGGACTCTTCTACTTACTATAAAGTAGCAGCGAACTAAGCCTCGGGGGAACGGTGATATAGATTGTTCTACCAAGGCTCTGTCTGTTAGGATCTCCTGTCGAACTTTCTGCTTTTGGCAGAGAGGAACCAGGACGAGGCTGCGCCGAAGGGCAGAATTTTGTCTGGGGAGGTAGACAGACCCGAACCCGTTTATCCGTGTTCTATTGGGATTTTTGGTTCGAGCCTACGGGATCTGGTGACCTACATTAAATTCAGCCTCGTGCTACATATATCAATCGTGAGCGGTGTGGGGTTTGTTACAGTTTTTTGTGTATATATACTATATACCTAGTGAGTTAGTCAAAATGACTTAATTCCCTTTATAGTCTACCAACAGAAGGTTGACCAATCAGGAGCCGCAGAACATTGTATCCGTCGTGTATAAAGGCGGCCATCTTTGTTTACCCTACCGGAAGGACCAGTGCCAACTTGTCAGGCGAAGATGCGAGAAGAAAGAACTATGCTCTGCTACGTTATCCACTGCGAACCTGCACTACGCTTTCCTACTGTCTCCGAAATATTCACTGCCAACCTCTGGATTCGATACTCGAAGACGACCGTCATGAAAATCATGAAAACAGATAGATAGATAGATAGATAGATAGATAGATAGATAGATAGATAGATAGATACGAACAGGCTGAGATAGGGTTAACTATATACAGTTATATAGACTGTTCTACCGAGACTGTGACTGCTCGCAGCTCTTGTCGATCTCTCTGCGTTGGGCAGAGAGAAACCCGCACGAAGCTGTGCCTAAGTTTTATCCGGGGTGGAAGACAGACCCGTACCCCTTAACGCGGGTTCTAAGGGGATTTTGGGCGAGCCTATGGGCTCGGATGACCAACGTTTAACTCGGCATTGTGCCACATATGCCATCGTGGTGGGGGTTCACTAAATATAACAGTGATATAGACTGAACGCTGGTCAACCGACACACATTCCCAAGTCGTGTAACATACTTCTGATGTATCTACTGTTCAATACACTATTTATCTGCAACCTCTTGTTTTGTTATTTCTTGGAACTCAGCTCTCCTATTAACAATTCGGACCTATCATCGATTAAATCACAGTCTGTTTCATGCTGGACGCTATCGTCAGGCCACCATTGCCTGACGATTGCATCTAGCATGAAACAGACTGTCGCCTCTAAGTGTTGACTTCAATGTTCACTTTTATATTTACACACGCTCGATCTCTGATACTGGGAACTTTATGTTGTAAATATAGCACCTTCATATATATATATATATATATATATATATATATATATATATATATATATATATATATATTTGAGCAACATCTAGCCGACACACTGGGGTTAAAATAGGAAACAAAAATGATACATATGACACACTCATATCCCTCTCCCACCTCACTTCCTCACTTCGTTAACTTCACGTATAGTTGATGAGGTCCGTTTAAAAAAACGTATGAATTTTTTCATTTTCATTTCAGCTTTTGGAAGTAAAAATCTGATGATCCAGAACCCTGTTAAAGGGGTTATGGTGAAATAACTTATTACATGGAATCTTAACGTGGTCTGTCTTTTATTCAAAATATATATATATATATATATATATATATATATATATATATATATATATATATATATATATTATGAAATGCACAAGTCCGACAATTATTTTAAGACATTATTATAAAAAGAAAGTATAAACATTAAAATTTTCAAATATATATATATGTATATATATATACATATATTGGTGTGTGTGTTTAAGACGATTGGGAAATTGAGATGAGGGATGTAATGATGAGACTGAAAGCTACAGTTTAGAGATACAGGAAGTAGAAAGCGACAGAAAAAGCAAAAACTGGATTCGAGGTAACGAAGAGATTTGTTCAGCTTAAACCGGGATGGGAAGGAAAGAAACAAAAGTAAAAGAGAAAGAAGAGTTGTAATAAACAGAGGCGGTAAGTAAGAAAGAAGCAGATAGATAGATAGATAGATAGATAGATAGATAGATAGATAGATAGATAGATACGAACAGGCTGAGATAGATAGATAGATAGATAGATAGATAGATAGATAGATAGATAGATAGATACGAACAGGCTCAGATAGATAGATAAATAGATAGATAAATAGATATATAGATACGAACAGACAGAGATAGATAGATAGATAGATAGATAGATAGATAGATAGATAGATAGATAGATAGATACGATACAAAAGGCTAAGGGAGATAGATAGATACATAGATAGATAAATAGATATATAGATACGAACGGACATAGATAGATAGATAGATAGATAGATAGATAGATAGATACGAAAAGGCTAAGGGAGATAGATAGATAGAATAGATAGATAGATAGATAGATAGATAGATACAAACAGGCTAAGATAGATAGATAGATAGATAGATAGATAGATAGATACGAACAGGCTAAGATAGATAGATAGATAGATAGAAACAGGCTGAGAAATGTTATATAGATAGATAGATAGATAGATAGATAGATACGAACAGGCTGAGATAGATAGATAGATAGATAGATAGATAGATAGATAGATAGATAGATAGATAGATAGATAGATACAAAGAGAAGTATATGTAAAAGACAAATAATTAGATTATATATATATATATATATATATATATATATAGATAGATAGATAGATAGATAGATAAAGGTAGAGAGAGAAATTGGAAAAGAAACAGAGAGTGCCAGACAGAAGAGAAACACTGAATGATTCCCATTGATAGAAACCGGCTTAAACAAAAATAAACAAAATGTAAACTGCTAAGAGAAATAAAGATGGCGAGACAGTCGCATTATGGCGGTTATCGGAATAAACATTCTCTGGAATAAAGGCTTTGGTCGAACTGAAGTTACAGAAATGTAAAAGAGATGATCATTAGAAAGGAAAATAAAGGAAATAAAATAGCGTGAAAACTGATGGCACCATTCATCATTCCCCGTCTTAAAAACAGGACTATTTACGAGGGCGTGTGCCTGGCAGACGGAGTCGGGTATTAGATAGAGAACAGACATGACGAAGATTGTATAGGTTCGGGATGTAACAGACGGACTCTCGTGATGCCTCTTAATCAAGGCGATATTTTGAATTTATTTAATTGTAGATAACTACGAGTTATTTCGCCATAAATCACGCCGGTCGCAATTCCCAGAAATTCCTGACGCCGTAAGTCCTTTTTGCCACTGCCCAGGCGCATTTTTTTTTTTTTTCCGTTTTTATACTTTCAGCTCATTGTTTGTCAGTTACGGAGATGGGTAGGGTAACTGCAGAAGAGCAGACGTCTGGGTCAATGGATCTGATCAAGGAGGGCGGATGTTGAGATAATCTGTAACGAATGTCTCCTTCGCAAGAAAATAACAACTCGTCTTGCACGCCATCATTATTATTATCATTATTATTATTATTATTATCGTTGTTGTTATTTCAAACCACGAGTAGTACCCTATATCAAAACAGCAAAAAGGTGTCTTTCTAAAAAAAAAAAAAGGTGTCTTTCCTAAACAAATATTAACAAACACGAAAATCTCGTTACAAACAAAGAGAAACATTAATGAACCGTTATGCAATATGAATCCTTTTATACGACACTGATTGCTAGACAATTTGTTCAATATGATTCTACAGAAGGATGATGAGATTACCATCGACTGTATATCATTAACGAGACGGATTTTAAAGATAATGGAAAGAATATGTATACTTATACATATCTTTTTTTGAGTAATTCGTTTTCTACTGCTTGGCAGGTTATTTAAAGCCAGGAAATAGATTGTAATATTTTTATATTAAGATAAGAATGGTTTACTGTTGCAAGTCTTACTCACTAAACTATAGCTGGCGGGAAAAGAGGTGGATTCATAACTTCCCGAAGGGTAGTTGAGCGTAAATGAATATAACGAACCTAACAACGGAAATTGGGATTCTGTTGTTCGATTAAAAATTCCGAGCCATTATTTATTACACCACCCGCGCATCCAAGATTACAGGACCTGGTATTTTCAAGCAGTCACGCATAAAGTCGTCAAGAAGGAAATACGTGTCACTACGCATAAGTAAAAAAAATCAACGAAAGACCCAAAAAAACATCCTGTAGAACAAATTGTGAAAGAATTTGACTGTCATCCTGGAAAGACCTTAGTTTATAGTAACCAATATCATTTGAAAAATAAAAGACATCAGAGATTATGAAATTGTTCCGTAGCATCCCGATATGTTTATTTTTATCAAAGTATTTATTTTTTATTTACTTTATTTACTTTCAAAACTAGTTACTTAATCACTGTTCGCTTTCTCCACCGGCTCCATATTGCACACCAACATGAAATATATATCACTAGAACTAACGATCTTGGATGGTTGTGTTCAATGATTTTACGTCAAGGTTTGTCCATTCAGATACATTCTTAGACCACCTTTTAGGTTGATGATCTTTGCCTGTTTACCATTCTTTCAAGACAAATTCTGCTTAATCCAAATTTTCTTCTTCTGGTGTGGTCATAGACTTTCAAGTCCCTGTTTTTGACGATGGAGTTGTAAGGACTTTTCAGATGATCCTCAATTTTGATGGAGTTGTAAGTGACTTTTCAGATGATCCTCAATTTTGTGTGTGCGGGCAGTTAATAATTTGTCATCATATCGTTTTGGAATGTTTCAGTTTTCTTTAATGGCTGGGTGACTTTACTTAGCAGCATATCAACATCTTTATGAGTTTATAATGCGGAAATCTAAATATATTCTATGCAGTTCCATGGCTTCAGCTACAGATATTTTGTACATAAATTAATACTTTCAGGGCAAACATACGTTTATATATATACTAGCAGTAGAGCCCGGCGTTGCCCGGGGATGTAACAGTAAGAGATAGATCAAGTATCGACCATCATAAAGACTGAAAAATAAAATTGACAAAGATTATTGCTTAAGGTTGACGGACACGCATGTCTTAATAGTTTTTTTTTTTTTTTTTTTTTTTTTACGAATTGGTCAAACTCAAACAAAACATTGTTTTCAATCGTTATGAGTCTATCGATTGAATAGAATTTTATTATAAACAATTGTCTTGTAAATGGAATTTTTTAAAGCATTCTGAATGTAAAAATAAAAAAAAAAGTGTGCAAGACAATAAGAAACACTACCTGCCAAAAAAGTGAAGTTTTGTTGATATCAATTGAAAAATGTAGGAAATCCGATCCCATATATAAACGAACACACACACACACACACACACACACACACACACACACACACACACACACACACACAAACAAACAACCTGGGTTTTATAAGTATAACTCGATATGAATTGTCCCCCTTTCATTCTGGCGACAGAATCGTGTTTTATCGTGTTTTCAAATTGATTTTTTTAAAAAAACAATTGTATTTTTCAATTTTTGGCACTGTCAGAACCACCGCAAGGGAATTCTACGCAGTCCTGTGAACTTTTGTCGAAATCGGTTGAAAAATGTAGGAAATCCGATTCAATATATAAACGAACAGACACACACACACACACAATCTGCGTTTATTATAAAACGCAGATTGTGTGTGTAAGATTATTGGGAAAATGTTTTTAAATGTATTGCTAGTAATTTCGCTGTAAAATATATTACTGGTATTTTTGCTATATGAATGTATTTTTTATAGTTTCCTTGTGTTTTGATTTTCGATTCAGGTTTCATTATTTGCCCATAACTGATGCTACCACCCCGGGTTAAGTTGGACCTGGGAACAACAGCCATTAAGATATTGTTCCATGCTCGGTAAAAGCTCCAATCTCCTGGGTAAGCTGTTTCCCGAGACGAGACTGTACGCTTCGAAATAGACTCGTCTGGAAATCTTATCTGCCCGGAGATAGAGCGTTTGAGCAGCACAGCTGGAGACGAATCTCAAACTGCAGACCAACATACAGTATTTACTACTGTATTCATGTGAATGGGGACATACCCATTATCGGCCGTAGGTATGCTATACCAATTACATTATAAACTATTCTTTGAATTCTGTCAAGTAGCTCAAGATATATAGTAGGAAGTTTTAAAGCAGATATGACAGCAGTATTCAATGTTAGGTCTATAACCTGGCGTTATGCTGGGGTTTTTGACAATTATTGGATCGTTTCTTGGCCTTTGGCTGAGATTCGATCAAGGCTTCGACTAGCTTGGACTGGCTCCGGCCTGGACTTGCTAGGACAAGTCATGACCAGCTTTGACTAAGCTCTGACCAGCTTGGGCATGCTTTGACCAATTTTGACCAGTGGCCTTTGAGTGGAAACACTCGGGTTTCCCACCTTAAACGACCTTGTGTCACATCTTGATTTTGTGGGAGTCAAGTAAATACCTATACATGGGGGGGGGATGGAATCTGACGAGAAAAAAATTTGTACGTCTCAATGAACCAACTTTCATAGCTGAAGACATAGTAAATGATTCGTTATAATCACTCCACTTCATGTCATTGGGAAATATAAGCCCAAGAAGGCGCAGATTTTTCCTTTCCTTCATTATTATAATTCTATGTGCTGTGTTCTTCGGGACATAGACGATCATGTCAGGGAATTTATAACTCAGTGTGTGTGTGCTCGCGCGTGTTTGTGTATTTATACACGTCCAAATTTCAATGAAATTATATACACATGTTGCAAATTTACCAAAATAGTTAAAGACCAACTTTTCAAATTCCAGTCCCAACCACCGGGTTTGGTAGAAAAACCGATAAAACTGAAGGTGGTCACAACTTTTTTTTTTTTTTTTTTTTTGCAAAAACCAAGTTGCACACGAACAAAATTTTTACTGGATGATCCGATGTTTTTTGCACTTAAGCCTCGTATCAGCAGCTATGTTTTGCATCATGTAGAATTGCTTGATAGTTTTCCTGCGACACTAGCTTTACACAAAAAAAATGTAAAAACCTGAGGAAAAAACACGGTTTTCACGTAATACTTAAAATAAAAACTCTGATAAATTCCTCATTTTTAATCCCAGTTTCTTCAAACATTTCGAAAAAAAAACTGCCATCATCCAAGAAATAAGATGTGGTTTTAGTCCTGCTTGCTTCCCTGCGTATAACGAAAAAAAAACGAAAACAAAAAACGAAAACAAAAAACGAAAATTTTTCAAAAAGCCTGTTTTTCAGCCATAATTTCCTGGCTTTTCATCCAATGCTTTCCAAAATTGCCAAGTAAATTACATATTATACACAAATTGTCTTGCGTGAATATTTGGTTTAGATTTCTTCAGTTAAGTCGACAAAATCTAGGTCCCAAACTGGCTTTTTGCTGCTTAGCCAATTGTGTCTTTAAATGATTCCATCTTAAACTGGAATTCAAACGACCTTTGATGCAAAGACTTTTTGAGAAAGATTATTGAAGTGTTAAAAGGGAAACATTCCCGAAGAACTTATTAACTCCAGCTTTACAGTAAACGTGTGAAGAAGGAGGGGGGCGTTGATAGCAGACATAAAGGGTTCTTGATCAAGCTTCAAAAACCTGTGTAGTTTTTCTATATTTCGGATAAAATGTCATTAAAGTTGAAACAAGTTTCATACGTTTGGATATGCAGGTAGCCCGAAAATTATCGACGTGGAAGGAAAAATTAGCTACCCGAGTTCAATTTACAGACAAATGTGTTACGTTCATTGATGTCCTTTGCGAAGACAGAACTCTATCTGTTCTTCCCATTATTTTGGTGTAAATAGCAAGGCAGGCTTCTTTAGATTTGATTGGCAACCAGTCTAGGAGAAGGATTTCTCCGAATTCAAAACTACGGAAAATGCAAGGAGAAAAATTCTTTTTCTTCTTCTGTTTTTTTTTTCTATTTGTTGTTGACAGTTGCATCTGTGCGAGAAAACGGGTAAAAAAACAACAACAAAAAAAAAACAACTTCTTGTGACACAAAAGACGAACGCCTTCTTGCGAACCAAAAAAACGAACGCCGCCTTGCGAACCAAAAAACGAACACCGCCTTGCGAACCAAAAAACGAAAGCCTTCTTGCGAACCAAAAAAACGAACGCCTTCTTGCGAACCAAAGAACGAACGCCGCCTTGCGAACCAAACTTTTCGACAGCAAACGAGCAAAACGGCACCCACAACTGCTGCCGACGGACGAGTGACCGCAACGGATGCTGTCGCCCAAGAAAAGACACCAAACGACTCGCGCATCTTCATCTTAGTCCTCGGTCGAGTCCATTATGGTACTCCAAGGTGTGTCCGGCGACAACACACACACGCAGTTCGAGGACGTTTCCGCGCATGCTCGTTACAGCATCAGCTAGTTTTATAGCAAAACGGTGAGGCATAGTTTCCCATTAAATAGAGCGCATAAGTTCGTGCAGTCAAGGCACCAGCGAGGAAAGATCAGAAATATTATTATTATTATTATTTGTGATGTCAACGAATACTCGTTGTCACTTTCGTAATGCGCGTTGCAGTAGAGACTTTGTAATCGCAGATACAACTCTAATAGCGCCGTTGAAAAATGCTGGTGTCAGAAGCCTTCGAATAATCTCACACTAATAATACTTGCTCGACAATACTCGCTCGAATAGTAATCCGTATACTGATCCGAAGAGAGAAATCATATAGTGAATAGAGAACAGTATAGTAATAGAGGATAGACTAGAAATAACGATCGTTAGTCGTCAGCTACTTCCTACATATATGCATTTCCTTCTATGGTCACGTAGTCTGCTTAATTTAATAATAGGATCGCCTTTTTTGCTCACTGGCGATCTATGTTCAAAATCTTTGAACGGCATCGACATTTTATTCCTATATAAGATTATTATTATTATTATTATTATTATTATTATTCTATGTGCTGTGTTCTTAGGAACATAGACGATGATGTCTCTCCACAGCTTCCAAACCATTGTGGCCCTTAGAAGTTTCTTTTTTGTCTTTTGCTTTATGCTGTCGCCCCGCCACCCATTCAAAGAAGCTTGTCAGGTAAGTGGCTTGCTTCTTTCCTCTGATGGTTACGTTTTCCAAATCCACCTTCTTTCATTATGTATCCAAGGAATTTCGGCTCTTTTTCCTGATTCTGAGTAGAATTGTTCTTTCTGCTGCCATTTGTTTAAAATTTCTTTCTTTCTTACTCGCTACTTCCAAGGAATTTTGAGCATCTCTCCGTAGAAATACATTTTTCACCCGCCTCTAGTTTGGGAAGATTATTCATCATTCATTGCCATAGAAGAAGCTGGATATCACATAGAAATCCAGCACTCTTTTCTTTATTTCTAAAGATTTTTCTTTTTTTCTTTTTTTTTTTGCCGTTTCTCAGCACCTTGTTTAGTTTTTGGAATGCGTCTTTCGCTAGTCCAATGCGTGTTCGGATGTATTTCCCAAATCGTGGCAATTCACAGATAATGAGAAATAATAAGTTACAAGACTTCATGGAAGAAATTTGCAAAGAAAAACTGCATTCACTATTCACCAAAACTATACCTTAATCCTTTCCACGGCAAATCTAATTAAATAAGAATTAGCAGGACTTACCAGTAATGTTTGTACAAAGAAACTAGAAAAAAAGACGCATTCTTAAGAATATTTGAGATTCTGGGTGGTAAGGGATTGCTTTGTATATTGTATGTCTTTGGAATTGGAAATGGAATATGAGAACTGTTTCTCATTGTCCATCTCACCCTCAACACCAATTACTTACTTGTTGAGTTCTTGTTAATCAGATTTTTCCCATCTCGCTTCACCTCCTTCAAGTTGGAAATGAGTCAGTCTTGGCGGTATATTCGTCAAGAGAACCAGGAGGTAAAGACAAGCAATGCAAAAAAAAAAGCGAAAGTCTTCGGAGATTTTAATCTGTCATCGATATTTCTTGAAATCGGCGCCAAAGTTTACATTTTGGCGGGAAGTTGGCCTTAATAAGACCCTGAGATGTTTTCGTTTATTCTAAATAAGTAAAGAAAAAAAAACATTTGAAAAAAAAGCAAGATGGAAAAAGAGATTAAAAGAAAATGTAGACAAGGCCTGTCAGTCTGCGTCTCAGTAAACTGATTTTATCTGAGGACATCTTATTATTATTCTTTATGTATCGTTTCCCTTCAGGGCCTAGGCGAACATGGCGCTCCACCATTTCCTGTTATTCATAGCTCTTAATAAATTTTGTCTTTTTCTTATATCTCCTAAAACTTGTTCCGGCATCTGTTTATAATATACGTGAAGTAGTTAATGTAAAATTTGTTCTTCCATCCATTTACTAATGTAGGTTATGGAGTTAATGAAACTAAGTAGGCTGTGCTTTGTTTTCTACTGTTCATCTTGCCTTCAATCTTTCCCGTGAGTATCAGATTTTCTAAGCCCGCTTTCCGCATTGTATGTACAAGAAATTTAAACTGTCTCTTCCTGATGCTAAGTATAAGTTTCCTTTTTCATTCCATTTTTCGTCGTTGCTCTAGAAACCTCGTCGTTACTCACTTTTATTCGGTCCATCACATGTTCATCCATGGTATCCTCAGCATCCTTCTGTAGAAATTTCATCTGTCTCTTCCCGATGTTAAGAATAAGTTTCCTTTTTTGTTTCCATTTTTCTAAAACCTCGTCGTTGCTCACATGTTCGGTCCATGGTATCCTCAGCATCTTTCTGTAGAAATTTTAACTGTCTCTTCCTGATGTTAAGTATAAGTTTCCTTTTTCTTTCCATTTTCTCTAAAACCTCGTCGTTGCTCACATGTTCAGTCCATGGTATCCTTAGCATCCTTCTGTAGAAATTTCATCTGTCTCTTCCTGATGTTAAATATAAGTTTCCTTTTTGTTTCCATTTTCTCTAAAACCTCGTCGTTATTCCCATATTCGGTCCATGGTATCCTCAGCATCCTTCTGTAGAAATTTCAACTGTCTCTTCCTGATGTTAAGTATAAGTTTCCTTTTTGTTTCCATTTTCTCTAAAACCTCGTCGTTACTCACATATTCGGTCCATGGTATCCTCAGCATCCTTCTGTAGAAATTTCAACTGTCTCTTCCTGATGTTAAGTATAAGTTTCCTTTTTGTTTCCATTTTCTCTAAAACCTTGTGGTTTGGTCCATCTTATCCTCTTCTTCGTTTGCCATACTTCTGAAATTTCCACTTCCCCGTTTGCCATACTTTTGAGATTTTAAGTTACCGATACTTGCATTTTGATAGTTTTTGAACATCTTCCGTGATACATTACAGTCTTCAGTTATTATTAATAGTAATAATAGTAGTAGCAGTAGTAGTATTCGTAGTATCATTGCATTCTAAGTGACGGAAAGTCTCCGGAAGGGAGAGATATTTGAATAAAACTAATAAATACCAAAGAGAAAATCGTAAATTTTGCTAGCGGAGCAACCATGATGACATCATGAATTTGAATGTATAAATCTTATTTATTATAAAACGCAGATTATGTATGTGTGTGTGTGTGTGTGTGTGTGTGTGTGTGTGTGTGTGTGTGTGTACGTTTATATATTGGATTGGATTTCCTACATTTTTCAACCGATTTCAACAAAACTTCACAGGACTACGTAAAATTACCTTGCGGTGGTTGCCAAAAATTGGAAAAACACAATTGTTTTTGCACGAAATCAATTTGAAAACACGATTAAGGCATCAGGAGAATGAAAGGGAGACAACTCATATAGAGGTATACTTATTATAAAACCCAGGTTGTTTGTGTGTGTGTTCATTTATATATGGGATCGGATTTCCTACATTTTTCAACCGATTTCAACAAAACATCACTTTTTTTGGCAGGTAGTGTTTCTTATTGTCTTGCACACTTTTTTCTTTATTTTTACATTCAGAATGCTTTAAAAATTCCATTTACAAGACAATTGTTTATAATAAAATTCTATTCAATCGGTAGACTCATAACGATTGAAAACAATGTTTTTGCTTGAGTTTGGGTTTGACCATTTCGTAAAAAAACAAAACAAAACAAAAAAGTAATTAAGACATGCGTGTCCGTCAACCTTAAACAATAATCTTTGTCAATTTTATTTTTCAGTCTTTATGATGGTCGATACTTGATTTATCTCTTACTGTTACATCCCCGGGCAACACCGGGCTGTACTGCTAGTGTTCAATAAAGATTACATCTGTATTCTTATCATATATAAACATAATTCATTCTGGGTATATGAAAGCCACCTTGATAGATTTCAAAATCTTTCACCCGGTCTTGTTTGTGAGTGGAGGCGAGACTTATTATTCAATACAGCCTCTTTCTCTTAGATCCTACGACCTAAGTCTGTCAATATTATGTCGCTATTTCCATGGCAAATAATCGATTAACTCTCTCTTTATCTCTATCATTACAGCCATGAGACGCCATGCTATATCAACAGAATGAAAACGCCCTAATTTCCTCCCAGCCCCAGAAATAGATAAACCTGCCAGAGCATATGACATATCTGTGGTTGTGGACATAAAGATTGTTACAAATTCATGACGGTCGTCTTCGAGTATAGAATCCAGAGGTTGGCAGTAAATATTTCGGAGACAGTAGGAAAGCGTAGTTCAGGTTCGCAGTGAATATCGTAGCAGAGCATAGTTCTTCCTTCTGGTATCTACGCCTAACAAGTTGGCACTGGTCATTCCGGTAGGGTAAACAAAGATGGCCGCCTTTATACACGACGGATACAATGTTCTGCGACTTCTGATTGGTCAACCTTCTATTGGTAGACTATAAAGGGAATTAAGTCATTTTTTTGATTAACTCACTAGTTGCATATATATATATATATATATATATATATATATATATATATATATATATATAAAAAAAAAATGTTACAATGATCTCGACTGAGGTCGATGAGGTGGTATTGCTCCATATCAGAGCATTTTGAAAAACGAAACCGCTGGGGTCTGCAAATGTACTGAAAATGATTTTGCATGTTTTAAGAGATAGACATACAGTAGCTAGTGTTAATCGTCACACTGCCGGTGTATTTTTGCATAGCACCCTCATGCTGGAGAACTCTTGGTCGACGGCGTAAATTCGATAATATTCGGGGATCGCTAGTTGCTTTGAGTTCATAGATAAAAGAACTTTAACACAGGTAATTTTAACTTAACTATTTCGTTAACATTCATTTCGACATGTTAGAACATGTCGACATAAACGTTAACAAAGTAGTAGGTAAGTTAAAATCTGGTGGGTGTCGTTCCTCGTCACTGGGGAGCC